TTTCAAAACTCGTATACGTACTATACTAAAAGTATACGCGGCTCCGCGAGGCGCGCCAACTGTCTTTCGGCTGGTGCGCGCGCGCATGCAGGAAGAAGCCATGATTGCGTGTACACTGCCCACTAACCTGTCGGAGGCGACTCGCTCTCCCTCGATACCCCGCTTGGCGTCCCGACACTCGCGATCGGCTGATGGCTGAGTATTTTTCACTGCGCGCGACCGCACTGCAATCACCAAATTATTCACACTCCCGCTACCCGCACGTCTCTCTGTCCCTTTCTTTCCTCTTTTCACCTTTACTCCTTGTCTCTCTTTCCTTTCTTTACGGTCACGCGTTTTATCTTCTCCCTTTCTCTCCCGCGCGCGCGCTCTCTCTCTCTCTCTCTCTCTCACACACTTTCCTTCCTCTTGTGTACGATCTTCCCACGTCTTCCTTCGGAATACGGAGTCTCCGACTCGTCAATTCTTACAGAAATGTGCGACGGCGACGGCGTCCGTCTACCGGGTGACCGCCGCGGTCGGCACGGAGTATACGAAAAAGTCACGCGAATATTACTATCGGGCGCACTGCAGTCTCCGTATACAGTCGTGAAATATGAATCGCACACGATTTGCTGCGTACACGTAAAGAGTTCCCACGGTTTTTGCGCTTCACTACTCTCGATTCCGTTTCGCTAATAATGCACAGAAATTCTCTCTACCTGCGCTCCGGACTGCTGTCCCTTGTTGGAGGAAAATGGCGGCCCCCGGGCAACTCGCGCGCGCCACCCGATGCTCGTCGTCACCGGCCGAGCGCGGCCGAGCGCGGCCGAGACCGCCCGAATGCTACTGACTGAACAATACGATGCGTTCGATTCGCTGAATGATTCACACATAGAAACTAGATAGTGGCAACACTTAGCTGCATTGATGCTAAAGAGGTGCGTTCCGTTTCGCGCATGATGCGCATGATGTATCGTTTTGTCCTCGTTGTTCACCGAATGTTAAAGAAGGATGGATACACATCATGCGCAACAGCGTAAACACGGAACGCACCCTCTAGGTGTACATTATTACCACTCGGATGTACTCGTATGCAAATCGCTTTAACCATTCGTTTTTACGGAAGATTCCTGTTTCCGATTTAAAAACGCGGATCGTTCTCATGGAACCCGAATATATACACGCGTTTTCTCCATTCAAATTAACCATTCTCGCAGATTAAAAAAGGTGTAACATTTTTGTAGCAGACAGCAAGATTAAGGATTATAAATTAAACATTATTTTTTTCATCAAGAGCTGCTTGACAGAATTTACATTTCAGCATTACTTATTATAAATAATTTATTTTTCAAAATTAACACTCGTATAATATTAGTTACTTATACATATATTCTAAAATATTATATTTTATTTGGATGAACAAAACACCGTTCACTGAAAAATTATTCTTCTCTCTCCGAAATGATGACGATATCTCCGATATTCTGAAAATTTTCTCAGGCTAAACAAAATATCATTGATAGAAAATGTATATGTGTAGCACATCAAGATTTTGAAATTGAGATAAAATGGACAAAAAATGGGATTTTTTTTATTATTTTCAACGTTTTTTTACAGCAAAATAAAACTTAATTCGTTTCAAATCAAATCTATATATAAAGGTACAATTCGAGGGCTTTCATGATTTTTTAATTCATGTAAAACTATTTTTATTAAATTATAGCTATTTGAATTTTAAACTTTTGTATAATAAAAACGGTTCAACAAAAAATCACTTTTTTCTCTCACAAGTGCCAAGAATACGATATCGTTAAAATTGATACGACTCAGAATTTTTTAATAAATTCAGATGATTTCTAGATCATTTTATCTCTCTCAATTTATTAAATCATATTTAACTCGAAAAATCTTCAAAATAATATATATAGCGGTTCGAAGAGGCACCATTTTGATTTAGTAAATATTCATATATCAATCCCTTTAAAAGTCAATAGCCTTGATTATGAATGCCCCTCGTAATCATTCGCGTCGAACGATGAGTGCGCCACCCCTGCTTACCTTCTGTAATTCGCTAACTTTATCTTTAATAACTTAAAAAATAAGCGCGTCGGAATTTTAAATTGTTCGTAGAGGAAAAATTGTCTCTTCGTCAGGAACACGTCTTTACAAAGACACGGAAATATTCTGAATCACACTATATATATATATAAGAATCGATGATACAAAAAACTCTTAGGGGGTGTGTATTCCAAAAATATCTTCTCCGAGGAAAATTTTACTCGAAATATATAGTATACGTAACATATACTGATATACTGTAATGTATAGAGTAAAATCTTTTTCGAAGAGAACGGTTTGGAATGCAGTTTAAGGTATATATACTTAAGATATATTCACACAAACTTGCATAACTGTAATAAACGCATAAACAGAAAATATCCAATTGTATTTCTCTTATCAAATCTTATAACTTTTTTTATACTTTATAGTTTATACGGCTATACGAGTTTGTGTGGATATACCCTTAAATACCCAGTATCCAAGAAAGGATTGGATTTTGTCTATTCGAATTCGTATTTTTAAATAGCGAATACTTTTTTGTGGATTCAATTAAATTCAATTGGATTCAATTGGATTCAATTAGATTCAATTGGATACAACTGGATTGAAAAACTGCGTTTCCTATTCAAAACTATGAATTGAACAGTATTCACAGGTCACAAACGCACTGAAAAAGCTAATATTACTTTATGATTGAAAAGTATACAGATATGCTCCATGCAATTCCTATAAATGAATAAAAACGTATTCGGATTGAAAAGGATTCATTTTGAATCCGTATTTCTGAAAATTTGAATCCATTTCAATCCATTCTCGGATACTGGGTAGTAACATAAGCGAATTGGCCAATCATGTACAGTATAGACCAGAGTGTAAACAGTAGCCAACCAACATGTTGATTTTCCTAGTGTTTACGTCTTACTGCTAGGGGTAACTTTTACCAACTCCAAATAACTTCATCGGCAGATTAGTCCATTTGAATTAACAGATTCATTAGATCTATCGTCAAACGATGACAAATGTGATTGGTCAATTCCGATAGGCTAATCGGCCGATTAAATTAAGTAGTTAATCAGAGTTGGTAAAAGTTACCCTTAAGTGCTTGTGTGCTCTATGAATGATAAAATCATAATTTTGATATGCTCAGAGGAAATCCTCTCAAGTCTCAAGTTTGGTCCAACAAACATGTATGATATGAACTCCGTCAGCGAGCATCGGGAGGAAGGGGAATGAGTTGCGTTCCAAAACCCAACTCTGTCAACCCGAGTATCATTTTTATCCCCAAATAGCACACATAGGTCCGTATTCAGAATGCGTTTTTATTGATAAAAGTGCGCTTTTATCTCTGAAATTCTATAGTATGCGTAACGTAAACTGTAGCATGTTAGAGCGCAACATCATTGTAAGCGCGCGTTCTAAATACGGGCCATAACTTACAAAGTGTTAAGAAAACGCTAAAAAGGTACATATGAGAGCGGTATCCAAGATCCGTCCGAGACTGTCTTTTAGATGTTAATATGGTCCTATGATTGGTTTGTGATACATCTTAAGATTGGGCGCATTCAGCGGACTCAACAGTTGAGTGAGCGCTCGCTATTATTGGTGTATTCTTCCAGATCTAAAATTCTGATTGGATGACCTAAAAGAATACACCAATAATAGCGAGCGCTCACTCAACTGTTGAGTCCGCTGAACGCGCCCATTGTATTACTTAAAACGGTCTTAAATATAAGAACCGACTGATATCAGCCTAAGCGCTTTTTTAAAGCATTGCAGGCGCTGCTGTGCTACTTGGGTCTTTGCTATTCGTCAAATATTAAACAGAAATAAAAGATACTCGGAGTTAACAGAGTTAAATTTTGGAATGCACCCCTAGTCCTTAAGACTGCCGCACACACTTTTCCTAAAGCCCACGGCACATAGAAAAACGTAAGGCCGTAAACGTAATCAGTAAGGAAATCGTAACATTGGATTCGCTACCGGCCTTACGGTCTCTACTGTGATTGGCCAATTCGCTTACTGATTACGTTTTATTGCCTTACGTTTTTGTATGTGCCATGGGCTTCACAGTAACCATAAGACGTACCGTAAGAATTAGCCAATCACAGTATAGAATGGTCAAAAACTCTCTGTTCCGATTGATTAATTCTTATAGTATATCTTACGGTTACCAATACGGAATGTGTATGTAGGACCTTAATGCCTGTTCAATAATAGAGTCGCAAGCTGTAAGAAATTGACCAATCATAGTCGATTTTTTTTTTATATTCAGCTGTGATTGGTCAATTTCTTATGACTTACGATTTGCGACCCTATTGTAGCTTAAGAAACGCCGCATGGAGGGTTCAGAAGGCAAAGTCCTCCATCCATCAGTGACATCAATATGCAGTTTAGCAAAGTACAAGCACAGGAGAGTACAGGCTGCATGGAGAATTGCTGGAGCGGGAATTCCGCACTTCCTCTATTAATAACTTCTATGTATTTAAGAAAAAATACTAAAGAATTAGATATTGAAGTTGTGATTTAAAAAAATATGAATAAATGTTTTACTAGCAGCAGCATATACTTTGTTTTTAATATATATAAATATATACTACTTTGCATCTGGTCTGCCTGTGTCTAATCTTTCCAGTTTTTATTATTTTTAGTATACATTACTCATTCATTTAATAAAGTAAAGATTTCATTTTCGATACATAAAATACATGCACATGTATCGAAAAACGATAATATACTCAATACAATTTTCATTAATATTTTAATAAACAACGAGTGACGTTAAAACTTCTTGATTGTTACTCAGAAACACATTTTTAGCAATATATATGTCAAGATTATTGACGTTTGAAAAACCTTATGTGAATATTTATAAGATGAATTCACACTACCTATAATTAATTTTTTCGATAAAATTTTATTTTCGATAATGCTGCTAGTATATTAATAATTGATTTACATTTACCATTGCAACATGAAGTTTATTCATTCATAATCTTTTGACTATTCTTCGAAAATAATATTTAGTAGACTGCATGAAATGCAGTATGTTCGATGGCACAATCGTTCTTTATCGTACCATCTTAATTCTATTTTACATTCATCTAATTTAATTATAACTTTTTACACTTTCGCAGCAAGAGCTTCAAGATCTTTAATGCATTGGTTAAGAGTCGCTTTCTCTTGTTCAGGAGTAATAGACTTTAATACTCCATTTACAATCCATTGCACCATATGTTTTTGTCCAATTCGACGTTCGAGATTTTGTATTTGTAATTGATAGTCAAGACGCTTCTTCACCTATAAACAGTAATTAAATGAAAATTCCAGAATTGTTTCTTTATGAAGAAATTTGATACGAAAACAGTACTACAATATTACAAATATTTAAAGTACATTTGTTTAATAGTTTCATGTAATAAATACAGGATTTTAAATAAAAATTTCATTTCAGTAGTAAAATAAGTATATGCAAGAAAATTACTAAAAAGCTACTAATATGAATTTTTCAATTTCACAAAATTTATATTGATCCATTTTTTAATTTTCAGATATGTTACCAAACAGATGATACATATATTAAAATTAATAACTGTTTTCTTTAATTACTTATTGTTAATGTGTAACATTAAAATACTTATCATATAATTAATCAAAACTAAATTTATATTATTCTTTGATAAATGCCTTAACATTATTTTATTTTATATTCTATCATGTAAAAGTTATACCTCTTGATAGACGTGCACCATACGTTCTCTGTAAGTTGCTTCCAGATGCATCTTAACGTTTTCTTTCTTAATGTCTATTATCATTTTCTGTCCATCCAAACTTGACTGTTCTTTCTTCTCATGTGAAATTAGATCTTCATATTCCCGTATTTCGCTGTTTCTAGTTTCATTAAGTTCATCATCGTATTTATCTATTTCTTTATCCAAAAACTGAGCAAGTTTTGGGCCAAATAATTTTACACTTGCTACACATATTATGAACATAGATAATCCATTATAATATTCATGTTCCAAGATATAAATTTCTTTGGAAACTAGATAAGAGCCCACACTTAAAGCAAATACGTACGGTCCTAAAAATAAAATAATAATGATAATAAGAAAATAGATCAGTCTGCTTGATGCTACAAATATTTTGAAGCATTTTATTGACTAATTAGAAGAAAGGAATTTACTAATTAAAGAAAACTTCAAACCCCATTTGTAGCATCAAGTAAACTACAATCAATATTGTCATTTCATATATTATAAAATAATCTGCGATATAACAAAAAAATAAAATTTTATAAAAAAGTTAAGTGTAAAATAAATGTTTTGTATAAGACTTTTTTTTTAAAACAATTTAATTTGAAGTATTTTCATTGTATATACTTTTTTTATATTATATCTAAAGAGGGCTTAAATTTAAAGCCGAAATATGTAAAAAATCCCATTATTATTATCTATTAGCAACAACTTACCTGATGCACCAGTTTTTGAATAGAAAGCTTGAAACCACTCTTCAGGTATAAATCCATGTCTAACTGGAGATGGATCAATCAAACGTTTAGGTCGAGTTGGCTGTGTTGCTACTGACGAAGCACATTGTATTCCTCCACGCACAGACATAGACAGTAACTGAGCTATGATAGATAACATATAATATTACCCAGAGTTCGTAATGTTATAATAGTTCATAAAAATAATAAGTTACCGATACTTTTTGTACAAAATAACTCATTACAATTACTTGTTACTAATTTAAAAGAAAGAGTACTCAGAATTCATTGAGATATTGCTAACAAAACAATCTAAGAAATTACTTGTTAAAAATCAGTAGCGTGACATGTTTGAATATAAATAAAAATTCCACACATGTTAAATTCAAATGAAATACTCTACCACTCTACATACAGATCGCCAAATCTGGTTATATATACTACATATTTTCAGTATTGGTAATGACTATCGGAATGCTATAATAAAAAACACAAAACATTTTTCAATATTTATATTTCTAATTAAATAAAATATTTCTAGTCAAACATAATTAAAAACTATGCAGTATATTGAATAGATATAAAAGTAATAAAAGATTAAAATAGTGAATTTGTTATCATTACAGCAAACAAGTAATAATTACCAAAAAAAAAAAGAAAGAACGATAACAGTACTGTGAGTTACTCTCTTTCCAATCCTGAATTATTGCCAAGTGGAATTAAAAGATAGATTTTAAATAATTATTATGGTTATCTTTAGTACACAATAAAGTATAAATTTGATATTTTTGTATACATATATAAAAAAGAGAGATAAAAAAAATTGTACAAAAAATATAAAATGGCTATTTTCAAGAAAATATGCCTGTATAATGTATATCACCCATAAAAAGAGATTAGCATTCTATTTTTAAAATGAATAAAATAGGCTTAAATATATATTACATAACTATGTAATATATAAATAAAATTTATGGTACATATTAGGAAAATAATGAAAGAAATTGTATCTAAATGTTATTACATAATTTAAAAATCAAACTTTGTGTAATTAATGAAACGACGTTATCCATTAATAATTGAGAGCACTTATTGTAAAATACGTAATACAATAAGAATCACTGCAATTGATTTACCATTGCGGAGAGCCAATCTTGATAACATTTTATATCGTATGGGTCTACTACTTGTCAATACTCAACAGCGAACACCATGTTCAACAGAACAGGACAGTAATGGCGGATTTCGATTAAGGCTGAGAACACATAATCCACAGACTGGAAACATTTATATGAAATAAGGTATTCAATTGCGTATAATGGCAGCTAATAAAACAACCAATCAAATGCTAGCTCCAAAGCGCTAAATTCAAATACAGTATTGATAAAAATTGCATGAAACAAACATGCAAACAAAATTAAAATTTGTAAAAATAATACAAAAATTTATAAATAATTAAAACAAAAAATAAAATAATATTAATAAATGTAATGATAATATTTACTTGTAATTAAGTAAATGATAATAAATGAGAACATTAAGTGATTTCAAATTAAAAATATTAGTAAAAACATTATTATAATGACAAGATACCAAAAATAATTATTATGATTACTAAAAATGATATGAATGGTATCTCTATCTTTATTTAATATTTAAGATTGCATAAAATTGATCATAAAGTGCTTTATTATAATATACTATTATGAATAAATAAACACATTTTTTAATATATTTTTATTTAACAAGAAGCATAATTTTGTAAACATACAGGTCCATATTCAGAATGCCTTTTTATTGATAAATTTGAATCATCAAAATTCTCATTTCAATATTGTACCAACAATCGTAGTTGTCGTTAGATGTGTTTAATTTTCGTTGGGAAAATCAATTCTATTTTAAGTTTTGACATTTTATAATAATTATGTGACCACCTAGTTTTGACTTCGATATATACATTTGCGAGATGATGGCCACTAATGATTTGTTTGTTATGAGCAATTTGGTAAGTTTTTTAACGGCTTGATATGTTTTTCTGAATCTTATTATTTTTTTTATTTTTTCTTTTTCCATCGCAGAGTATGGTAAAACATAGTATCAATTGATCGGTCAATCGTTGGTCCTCTCTTCTACACGTTTTTATCAAGTCCAAAAAGTGTCCATCACAATTATTTTTTACATTTTTTGTAATTTTTTTATATGGATATTACGATCTTGAAATACAATAAGATCATTTTAATTTAAAACATTTACGGAATTGTACAAACATCCGAAGAGGGCTGAATCATACAGCCGAAACATGTAATGCGCGCGTTTATTGTAAATTTTAATCAGTATAATATAATTAAAATGTAGCTCATTTTTTGAAAAATTTTTGCATATTAATTATTTGACTCTTATTAGTCCTTTACATAATTGTTGGTTTTATGTTAAGAGTCCTTGTATTCAAATTAATTAAATTCAGAAATTAATTTGATCGTGCTCCCAAGCGGCTACTCATCCTATGCTATACCCCATTTAATGTTGCATGACCTTTATGATCGTACGAAAACTATAGCTGTTATATCGGTAATCCATGAATTCTGAATATTAACGGATGTATAACTGTTACATATCTTGTCAATAGATACCATTCCAATAATATTACATCATTGCAAAAATATTGCAGTAACGTTGCTACAATATCATAACATAATATAAATATCGAAATAGTCCTATACTTTTTATTATAAAATGCTACGTGTAAAAAAAATTATGTACAAAATTATTATAAACAAAAATAATGAATTATATATTTCTAATAATACAGTGAAGAACAATTTTTCATACATTATCATGTATAAACCAATATTTCTCTCTCTCTCCCTCTCTCTCTCTCTCTCTCTCTCTCTCTCTCTCTCTCTTCTGAATCATATATATAAATTATATTAGCTGTAAAACATGAACATGCCCGAAATAATGGTCATATACATGATTACATATACATGATAATATGTAATTACATTATAATTGAATATAAATAGATATATATTATAATTATATATTTATATATAACTATAAATTATACATATATGGAACTTTTCTCCTATTATATGTTGTACATAAACCAATATTTCTATACAAGCTGATTAAAAAATTTTATATATAATTACACATAAACATATAATCATATATAATATTACATATAATTATATATAATTACATTCATATAATTATATACGAAACGTTTTTATCCCGAGTCATATTTTATTGTAGGTTTAAAATATTTTGTTTCATATATTAAGTTTCATATTAATTACTTTATCATGAAAATATGATTGTAAATCAAAAGAATAAGCTAATAAAAGCAATTGTCGTTCAATAAGAGTTTCTTTTACAATTATAATTTATATTTTATATATAATATATTTATAATGTGTATTGTTTGATCCTTGATTATTTTAAAGTAAGAAAAATATATTTTTACAAAATTGCAGTTCTAAAAAAATATATATATACATTCATATATTTCCATACACCATAATAATTTATCTATCATTTTTTATTTTTACGTCAATATTCTATAATATGATATGGAAAACAGAATACGATAAAAGAGAAAATGAAAAAAATACGGAAAATATCTATGCCCATATTCACAATCAGACTTTACATTTAAGACTTCCTTAAATTTATCTTCAGATGTTCTATATTATTTTATTGGCTACTAAATTTGAAGATAAATTTAAGGAAACCTTAAGTATAAAGTCTGACTATAAATACAGGCCATAAAGTAGACAAATTTGTATTTTTTTCGTATTCTATATTCATATTTTTTCATTATACCTATATATATTTAAACTATAAACTGTACTTTTCAACTAATTCCCACATAGGTATTTTCAGGATGCAGCTCCTGAAAAGAAAATATAAAAAGTAAACATTAAAAATAATAATAAAATATATGTATATAACACTATATCAAATCAAGATAAAATGATTCGTTTGCTTTTCTGAAGTAATAAATAAAATTAAAAAGTATGAAGAAATACGTTCTTAAAGAGCCATTCATGCAAAATAAAATATTTACATACATGCAACATATGGTAGTGGCTAGTCTTTGCTTTCTCTTGTTCTACTTCTTCCTTATTGGCTTCTCGATTCGGCAATATCGATAACCCGTCCATATTCAGTGGACCAAAAGTCCAACCGCCGTCTCCATCAAATTTCAATAATAATTTGTGATATTTTGCGAGTGATGCCACTCTGTGAGTAATGGTTAACAGAGTGATTCCTTTTTTCTTTGCGGTTTCGTACATTATTCCTTCAGCTTCGAGACTGACAGCACTTGTACATTCATCTAATAAAGCATATTGTGGAGCGTGATAAAATAGTCGTGTCATTGCAAGCCGTTGTTTTTCGCCACCCGATAGAGTAGAGTCCCAGTCGCCGAGAGCATCGAAACCTTCCGGTTCTCGTTCTACAATACTTCGCAAATCCACATCATCCAGCAATTGTAACAATTCTTCATCCGAGCAATTCTCCGATCTGCAACATGAAAACACAATGCATATTTTCTATTCATATTTCAATAAAGAATCGAATTGCTGTATATAAAGAATGTATAATTCTATTTAAAAAATATATTATAAGATATATATTTATATACGTATTATGAAAATTTAATTAATTATAACACTTGCAGGGTTTGATAAAATAACTAATACATAAAATATTAAATAAAAAAATAGGTCAGAAGAAGTTATTTAAAATAATAAATACTAAATAATTATTTCATTTTTCTCTAAATTTAAAATATATATTTTAAATACAATCAAGCCCTAATAATTTGATAATTATATATATAACTTAAATTACCTATATTAATTTGATTAAATGTAACAATATAATTTAAATCTGTTTCGGTTTTTATTTTTAATATAATTGTATAATATATTTATGTATGTATACCCAGAATGCGCTGGATAAATAATTTGATCTCGAAGACAACCCACTGTCATGTACGGCTTTTGTGGTATATAAAATAAGGCAGGCCTGCTATGCTTAGAAGAATTTTTCTCGGCTGGTCTGACGAGGGTTCCATCGTAAACGGGCCAAAGACCAGAAATGATACGGAAAAGAGAGCTTTTACCGCAGCCATTAGGTCCAGTGATTAATACATGATCGCCTGGTTTTATCTGTAAATTATGAATAAATGTAGAGATATAATATATACGTGTAAAATATAATCAGATGTAGTATATTTATCATATTCTATTGATTTGGATTCAACAAAAAGTAATAAAATAAAATTAATATAATAGTATGATAAAAAATATGATAATATGAAATAAAATAACAAAGACAATATTTTATATATAATTAAATGCAAATATAAAAATATGTGTTTATACGTAAAATATACATAAAAGTAAATTATACATAATGAATATAAATAAAGTAAATAAGAATAATAAGGTAATTGTAATTATAGTAATCATATATATCTTTCATAAGGTTAAACATTGGAATAGATATAATGTGATTCTGTAACTATATATAGTCTATATGTAAAGTTCGTGATAACAAACTACTTACATGAACTGTTAAGTTAGATACAATTATTTCGCAATTAGGTGTAACTATCGGAACGTTGATTAGGCTTATACTGCCATCTGTGCTCTCGCGAACAATTCCTGATAAACAATAAATTCATGTATAACGATTTTCTTAGAAGAATCTAACATAAGGAAAGAATAACAGAAGCGTAAACAAAACTTCTAGGAAGCGAATTGAAACAATGGAACATAAAAGAAACATAAACGTCTCTTTTACGTTTTATTGGTTCAATTCACTTCCTAGAAGATTCATTTACGTTTCTGTTACTCTCCTGTTATATTAGACTTACGCTCCGATTTTTATTTTTGCCAATGTTAGAATTTTTGTTTCAAAATAATCTCGGGAATCAACTTTTAAGCGTTGTTACGATTTTTACCAAATACCTCGTATATATTTCATAATATTCAAAATTATTAATTTATCAATTACTAACAATGTTAAAGTATCATTTTTTAAATTAGTAACTTCAAAATATTATAAAATATACATTAAAAATAATAATAATAAAATCAAGTTTTATTTAATTAATCAAATTTTATTATGTTATTAACTATAAGTTCATTGAAATCATTTAATTTACCTTTTATTATTGGGGTACCGTTACTAAATTCAATTACTTTTTCCGTTAAATCAGTGTT